TGCAGTAAAGAAGTCATGCATATCTCCTTGATGCTCGTTAAATAATTCTAATTTTACCTTTGTTACCTTCATACACGTATCCTATGCAAGACCTGGTGCGGTTAAATAATTTGCTAGATCTAAATTAAATGCTGAATAAGATGCTTTTCGAAATGTCTCAAATGCATCTGCTAATATAAAAATATCCATTTTGAGGTAAATATCGTTATAATCACCAAAGGTTTTACAAGCAGTTTCTTTCCAAACTGTATGAGCAAAATCGTAGTCCTTTTGAGTTATTGTGTAAATTTTCTCATATTCATATTCTTTGCTTTCACATCCTTGCTCGCAATAATTTACTCCATCCAAGTTACTATTAAAATCTTTTCGAGGAGGTAGTTGTGTTTCTTTGAATTTGTTTTTACTAGTTAACCACTGATATAGGAATATTCCTTTACGTGTAAGCAATGATAATAAATGAGGTGAGATGAATTTTGACATAATTGGAAAATATTTTGCTAATTGTTCTGGTGTTTTAGTTTGGCCCTTCTTTTCATCACGTAAGTTTTCTGCTATCTTAGCTAAACCAGGTAATGAAAATTTCAAACTATCAATAAATTGAAGTTGACCAACTGAGAAAATAATATATTGTTCTGAATTATTTGCTATCAGCACTATTTTTTCATCCGTCACTTTTGCTATTTCTTGCATAAGATGATGGAAATCATAACCACTTCCATTACAAATTAGTATGGGGATTTTTATTGTTTCTGGATCGATTCATAATTTTAAATTACATTCACTATGAGCTGGTCCTCTAAACTTTTCTGTAATATGGTTATGATCTATTACTCTATTTTTTTCCTCATCTGGTAAATGCGTTTTGCAATACAAACATACCTTATAAGATTTATGTTTTTCTTTTTGCTCATCATCTAACTTACCTTGAATCATTAATTTTTTTCCGTGACATTTTCTATGCGAAGCACCCAAATATTTTTTGGTTTCAGGATTGAATATACGAATTTTATTAT